ATTTAACTCTCCTCTTGAACTGCTGGGATTATAGACATGTGCCACAGCACATGGATCCATTCCAAGTTTTCTAAGGAATCTCCATACTACTTTCCAGACTGGTGGCACCAATTTGCAGGACCACCAGCAGTGTATGAAAGAACATTTCCCCCCGCATCCTCATCAACGTTTGTTGTTCCTTGTGTTTTAGATAATTGCCATTCTGACTGGAGTAAGATGGGATTTCAGTGTAGTTTTGATTGGCATTTCTCTAGTTGCTAGAGATGTTGAACATTTTTTCATATATTTGTTGGCCATTGGTATTTCTTCTGGGAAGTGCCTGTTCAGTTCCTTTGCCTCCTCTCTTGGTATCCTTCCACCCTAGCCAGTCTTCTTTCTGTCCCTCAATTTGATGTGGTTAATACTTTAGTATGAATTAGTTTAGTATGAATTAGTCTAAATACAAGAGAGGGAAGGTAGACTTTCAAATGTGAGAAGCTAGCTCAGGAAAGATTTTGTAGGAGATCCTAGTCTTCTATTTGAAAGTATTTCTGTTCTTGGTCTGGAATATTTGTATGGTCTTATATGTAAATATTGATTGCTTCCCCCTCCCCACTAACTCCACGTAGGAGATTGAAAGAATCCAGAGGTGCTCTACCATTTTGATACACCCAACCTTTTTATCTTATTTTGAGGCAGGGTTTCACTAAGTTTCCCAGACTGGCCTCCAACTTTCTACCCTCTTGCCTGACTCTCCTGAGTAGCTGGGACTACAGGTAAGCACTGCCACACTCTACCTTTTTTTTTGCCAACTTCACTCAACTGCGTGGGCTCTCTCGTCCTACGAGGAGGTTCACAGAACAGGGTAGAGGAGTGTGTGGCTGCGGAGTCGCTAATCAAGACCTCTGGAGACCAAGCAGGAAGCAGGTAGATTTTTTTGCGCAGTTACCATGTCTATATATACTCAAGAAGTAGCTAAGCAGATTACAGGCAGCCACCAATACAATTTCTGGCAAACTATCTATAAGGTGACACATTGAAGAGTGGGCTATGGAGCAAGTGCAGGGACTGCAACAGGCAGCCTCATGCCCAGGGCTGTGTCTACGGGGTAAGCTGTTTGCCGCTCACATGCCTAGTACGAGAGGAGTGGCCTGCCACTCAGGTGCCCTTAACGTATGCCATGTATGTAGTACTCCATGCACTTGTCCTCACTCTCAACACATTGTTTTGACTGGGGATCAAACCCAGGGGCACTTTATCACTGAGTTACATTATTAGCCCTTTTTAAATTTTTTTTTTTATTATTTTGGGACAGAGCCTTGCTAAATTGCTGACTCTGGCCTTAATCTTGCTACCCTCCTGCCTCAATCTTTTCAGATGCTGGAATTACAGATGTGCACCACTGTGTCATGCAGAACATTTTTTTTTTTTTTTTAGAAGCCTTGTTTTCAAAACATTCACCCAACTGTGTTCTGATTGCCTTTTTTCTGTTGTCAGGAAACAAATGCACCCTCAAAGGACAAAGATTTTCACCAGTGATAAAATTCAGAGAACTAAGTGGTTTCTGCTTAAACCCAGTTTTAGTTGAATGTAGTGGCACACACCTGTAATCTCAGGTTGAGGCAAGATGATCACAATTTCAAGGCTTGCCTGGGCACTTTAGTGAGACCCTGTCTCAAAATAAAAATGGCTAGGAATTTAGCTCAGAGGTACAGTGCTTGCCTTGGATGCCCAAAGCCCTGTGTTCAATTCCCAGTACTGAAAACAGAAAGAAAAGAACCTTTTCAGGTAATTTGTTTTAGATAAGGCTTGTAACTAGTCTGGGAAGAAGATGGTATATCATCTTTGTGTTAAGGACCTTCCAGATGTTTTAGAACTTTTAGCTTCTGAGCCAAGTCTAGGCTTTTCACAGAATCCTAATAAAACTCCCCTAATGGGTGTTTTTTGATGACTGGCTTTGTGTTTTAGTTTATCTTATTTGTTTATATGTTTGAATAGGTAGTTATGTTAGTCAGCTTTCTGGCATTGTGACAAAATACCTGAAAACTATCAGTTTATGGTCAGGAAAGATTTTTGTTAGCTCAGTTTCAGAGTCAGTTTATGGTTGCTTGGCTCCATTGCTTTGGTCCTGTGGTGAGGTGGGAAGCACACAATGAAGGAAAGCTGCTCACTTCACGATGGCAGGGAATCAAAGGGAAGGAGAAGGGGTGGAGACCCTAATATCTCCTTTGAAGGCACGACCCCAGTGATCTAGTTTTCTTCTACTGGGCCCTGCCTCCCAAACGTTCCAACACTTTCCAACAGCACAAAGGCTGGAAACCACACCTTTCGCATATGGGCTTTGGGAGATATTTAAGATGCAAACCTAGTGCTCTCCTAGACCCAGTATTATGATAAACAAATTCTCATGCTACCCACCAACCTGAGGATATTTTCTTCTCAATGGAGATTTTTGGAATTCAGGGTCCCTTCAGTTTTCTTTCTTTCTTTTTTTTTTCTTTCTTTTTCTTTTTTTTTTTAGAGAGAGAGAGTGAGAGAGGAGAGAGAGAGAGAGAGAATTTTTTTTTTAATATTATTTTTTAGTTCTCGGTGGACACAGCATCTTTGTTGGTATGTGGTGCTGAGGATCGAACCCCGGCCGCATGCATGCCAGGCGAGCGCGCTACCTCTTGAGCCACATCCCCAGCCCCCTTCAGTTTTCTTTTTCCTTTTTTTTCCCCTTTGTAAGTGGGGACTTAACCCAGGAGTGCTTCACCACTGAGCCACATCCTCAGTTCCTTTTTTTTTTTTTTTTTTTTTGAGATAGGGTTTTGCTGAGTTTCTTAGGGCCTCACTAAGTTGCTGAGGCTGGCCTGAACTTGCGATCCTCCTGCCTCAGTCTCCCAAGTCGTGGAATTACAGATATATGCTACCATGCCCAGCTTCTTCAGTTTTCAAGAGGATTTAATTTCACATTGGAATTTTCTATGATCCAGTCTGTTCAGAATATTTGGCCATAAATGGGCCCTATCAGTGTGAACCAATTCAGAGAAGGCTGATCAAGAAAGCAAAGAGCCTAGAACTAAGGACAAGAGAAGATGATTTTGTAGGATTTTTTAAAAAAAATATTTTTTATTTGTTGATGGACTTTTATTTTAATTATTTGTATGTAGTGCTGAGCATTGACCCAGTGCCTCAGGCATGCTAGGCAAGTGCTCTACCACTGAACCACAACCCTAGCCCTGATTTGGAGTATCCTTAATTATTTAAAGGTAGGGTGGTAGGGTGGTAGGTAGGGTGTGGCAGTTGACACTGTAATCCCAGTGACTTGGGAAACAGAGATAGGAGGATCACTAGTTCAAGGCCAGCTTCAGCAATTTAGTGAGATCTTATCTTAAAATAAAAAATAAAAAGGGTTAGGGATGTAGCTCAGTGGTAAAGTGCCTCTAGGTTCAATCCCAGTACCCAAAGTAATAAATAAAATAAACAAATAAAGTATTGTGATGTGAGGAGGGATTGTTTCTTCTTGTGGACAGGGGCAGATTTACTGTTAAGATAATTGAGTTTAAGCCTTAGCGCTCCTCATTTGTAGACCCTGTTCCTAATTTTGAATACTTAAGTTTGTGTTTTCACACATTTCCACTACTAATTAGGGTTTTAGAAACCACAAAATCTGGAATTACCCCTTTCTTTGTGGCTCCAAAGAGCAAACCAGGACCTAAGATATAAATGGAGATCTGGGATGAGGATGTTCTTTCCATAAAGGAATATCTTTCCAAGAACCAGGAGGATTCCACCATGCAGTGGTCTAGTATGGCAGGCATCCTGTATAGCCACCCACAATCTTCCTGGCAACATCCCCTCTTTCCTACAAACAGTACTTGGATTTGTTCAAAAAGTTAATGGGAAGCAGGATATGGTGGCATATACCTGTATTCCCTGCTTCTTTGGAGACTGAGGAAGGAGGATTGCTTGAGTCCAGGAGTTCAGGGCCAACCTAGGCAGCATAATGAGACCCTGCCTCAAAATAAAAAGGACTGGGAACTATAGCTCAGTGGTATAAATCCCAGTAATGGGTAAAAAAAGAAAGGAAAACAAACAAAAACCCAAAAAACTTTGAAGGAGTGTCCTTGATCTCAGAGAGGGAAGGCTCTTCTCCAAACCCCAAGGGTGAATTACGGTTGGGTTAGCCAATAATAATAATAATAATAATAATAATAATAATAATAATAATAAAACAGCAGAGGCTTAAGTCTTTTTTAATCCCTAAGAAGTGTGGGGAGAGGAGATACTTGTAAATATTTACAGATATTTTTTTCATTTTTTGCGGTGTTGGGATGGACCCTCTTGCCTTGTGCACAGGTAGGCATGCCCTTTACACACCCTCAGCACTAAATCCATTCTTTCTTTTCTTTTTTGTACTGTGGATTGAACCAGGGGAGCTTAACCACTGAACCACACCCCAGTCCTTTTTAATATTTTATTTAGAGTTAATGTCTTGCTGAGATGCTTGGGGCCTAAATTGCTGAGGCTGCCTTTGAACTCACGATCCTCAGCGTCCCCAGCAGCTGGCATTACAGGCAATGCACCACCACACTGGGCCCTTTAAATTTTTTTAATTCAAGACAGGGTCTCACTAAATTGCGTAGCGCCTACCTAACTTGCTGAGGTTGGCCTCGAACTTGTGATCCTCCTTCCCGTTTCTCACAGGGCTGGGGTTACAGCGTGCGCCACCGCTCCCAGCCTCAGTTAATTTCTCGAATGAGTGATTGAATAATCTAGCAGCTAGTTTTCCAGGCACCTAGGGATGTCGCGCAGGTAGCGACAGCCGCCTTCGTGCACCCACGCTGCGAGTGCAGTCTGATACGAAGACGTCTTCGGCAGTGGCTCTCGGTCGGCGACAGCCGACTCCAGCTCTGCTCCGTCCGGCGCCGCGGGTTTGACCAGAGCCTCTCCAGGAGGATTGACTTCCGGGGCGGGGTCATGTCCAGTTTAAGAGCCGAGCGCCCCGCCCTCGAGGGCGGAGCTCGGAAGGGCTTTAAGGGGCGGGCCGGCGGGCGACCGGGGTCCTCTAGAGATTAGCACAGGGTGGGCTCACGCTGTGGGCCGCCATTTCTTGGCGTCGCCTGAGGAGCCGCCCCCTCCTCAGCTTCTCGGAGCCCCCATCGCCGTCGCGCCGTCGTCCCCTGTCTCAGGTAAGCGTGAGGCCCGGCGGCCCCGGCTGCAAAACCCCCTTCTCTCCCGGCGCGCGGACCCCTCCTCGCCCGAGGCGGCCTCGTCCCCGGGAGGTGGGTGGGGGCCGCTCCGGGACTCTGGGCTGCCCCGGCCTTCCCCGCCCGGCCGGCTCCGCGAGCAGCCCGCCGGAGGGGAGGAGCGGCGGCGGAGTTTCGGGCGATACCGCGGCGCGGCGGGGTGAATGCTTGCCCGGCGGCCGCGCTCCGGGCCGAGCCAGCCCGGGGCGGCGCTGGGCACTGCGCTTCTAGGAGCGGCGCGGGGCCGGCCAGCCGGCGAGGGGAGAGTGGCGGGCTAGGGAAACACCTCGAGTTCCCGTCAGGGTCCTGGAGCAGACGCCCGATAGGACGCGTCTGGCTGATTGTGTTGAGTAAAACTTCCGCCACTTGGAAGTTTTGCGAGGCAGGTGTCCCCGGTCCTGGGAAGGGCGAAGGCACCCTCCCCGCCCCCGCCCGGCTTTTGTCGTGTTAATGATGAGCTCCTTGGAGGGTAAAGTTAATTGTATGGGTCTCTCATTTTTAGGGTTAGACTGGTGAATTCTATTTAGAGCTGGAAGACATAGCTCTATTTGCTAGTATATTAAACTAATTTCAAATTTTTTCTTTTCTAAGAATTAGGAGAAAAGTAAACATAACTACATTTCTTATGCAACCCGCAGTTCCATTAACCCTGTTGCTGACATAACTAACCAGTGGCTGAGCTCTACGTGCCTTAGGTGGATTATTTGGAGTAAGATAGTTCACAGGATTTAAAAAAAATTATTTTTAGTTATAGATGGACATTTGTTTATTTTTATGTAGTGCCGAGGATCAGACCCAGTGCCTCACATATGCTAGACAAGCGCTCTGCCACTGAGCCACAATCCCAGCCCTCACAGGATTTAAAAATTTTTTTTTTTTAAATCTCTGACTTCATTAGAAAACGATACACGCAGTTTCGCAGCTGTTGAATTACTAGTTGACGATTTTTTTTTTAAACTGGGATTACTGGGACAAAAATGCTAATGTCCTCATGGCATTTGCTGTAAATTGGCATATTGTTTTATTTTTATTTTTAAAATATTTATTTATTTATTTTTAGGTGTAGATGGATACAACCAATGCCTTTATTTTTATTTTTGTGGTGCTGAGAATCTGAGCACTCTACCGCTGAGCCACAATCCCAGCCCTGGTATATTGTTTTATTAAGAAGCAATTACTTACCATGTTGTGGCCACCAGTCATAAATATATATACACATTTCATCTTGGATATGCTTTAAAACAACTTCTATTAATTCAGGTGGTAAACTATTATTTCAGTTTGCATTTCTAAGATTCAAAAGGAAACCCTTGTTGTTGAAAGTTAGTTGTTTTTTTTTTTTAATTCTTTGAAACTTTACCATCCAGAAATTCCACTGGATCATTAATGTGAGCCCAGTATGCGTGTTGCCATGGTGTATGTTGGATCAAAGTAGTGAGGAAGTCTGTCTAGGTCCCTATCTTTGTGTCTCAGTAGGGAATTAGTCAGTTTAAAAAAAAAAAATTAAGCAATTTTTTTTTTGTTGTTTTTTACTATTACACAAAGAAATGCCTAAGTACCAACAGGGGTGCCTAATTTAGACTCAGAAATCTGGGAGTGCTTTTCTGAGGAAAAGACATTTCCCCTGTAAATCTGAAGATAACTACTCGAAGGAGGAGCAGAAAGAGAGAGAGGTGAAATGGAAAAAGATTATTCCAGAAAGATGAAACAACTAATGAACATAATCAAGACTTCTGGGCTGGCTGACTACTAGAGCAGAGAGCAGCTAGAGTGGGCAGGCAGGTGGGAGTAGTGTATGTGGGGCACTGTCATTAGAGAGAAACAAGGTCCAGATTTGTGGTTGCTAAAAAAAATTTACTGGCTGTAGTGTTTAAAAAAAAAAAAATTGAGCAAGTGTGGGTGGGATGGGGAAAGAGTGAAACTTTTTTTTTTTTTTTTTTTTTAAATGTGATACTGGGGATTGAAGCTGGTGCCAGGCACATACTAGCAAGCACTCTATCACTGAGCTACATCTCTAGCCCTTTTTTGAGATGGAGTCAGGATAAATTCCCCAGGCTGGATTCTAATTTGCAATCCTCCTGCCTCAGCCTCCCAGGGAGCTGGGATTACAGATGCATACCACCAGTGTGCCTGATTTGGAACAAACACACACACACACACACACACACACACACACACACACACACATTTCAGTACTGGGGACTGAACCCTGAACTCAGGGGTTATTTACTTTGACCTATATCCCCAGCCCTTTTTTAAATTTTTAATTTTGAAACAGTCTCACTAAGTTGCCCAGGCGGGCTTTGGACTTGTGATCAACTTGCTTCAGCTTCCTGCAAAGTTGGAATTAGAGGCAAACAACACAAAAGTTATTTTAAAAAAAATGATAAAAGCTCAATGACACATTTGTGTATTCATATGAGCTCCAGATTGACCCTATCTAGAGAGAACCTTTACAGTTGCATATCCTTCCAGTCCCTGTGTATGTGCAGGTGTGCATGCATGTGTGTCCTCCCCCTAATGTAGAATAATAACGTGTAACTTTTTTTTGGTTTGATTTTTCACTTACAAATTTTTTTTTTAATATCTTTATTTTTTATGTGGTGCTGCTGAGAATCGAACCCAGTGCCTCAGGCATGCTAGGTGAGCGCACTACCACTTGAGCCACATCTCAGCCCCTTCACTTACAAATTTTTAAAAAGATTTTTCTTTATAAACCACTGAACATTTTTTTAAAAATATATATATTTAGTTGCAGTTGGACATAATACCTTTTTTTTATTTTTTATTAGTTGCACATGACGATACGATGATCTTGACATATCATACATTTGAATCAAGTGGGTATATTTTCTCATTTTATAATACCTTTATTTTATTATTTTTATGTGGTGCTGAGGATTGAACCTAGTGCCTGACGTGAATGAGGCAAGTGCTCTACCACTGAGCTATAACCCTAGCCCCTCACTTAGGAATTTTATCAATATTTAAGTCAACTGTATTTTTAAAAGAATAACTGTATTATATACTGTTATATGTACCATAACTTTACATGCTGATGGACATAATTTAAAATTTCCTAAATCACTTATACCCGGAAAAATCCTTAATCTTACAATAGATCACATAAGTTACTGTTTTATTTGGCCATCCACCAGAAATAGAATTGCTGAATGCAAAGATATGCATATTAAATTTTTTAACAGCAAGTTTAAAAACCATATTTAAAGAAGACAGTTTATGAAAGTGATTGTTTTTCTCAGCCTTTTAAACATTGACTACTTTAAGTCTTTTAATGACAAGCAATATCTTCTTTTGTTTGTTTGAAACAGGGGCTTACTACATTGCCCATTCTGGTCCTTGAACTTCTGGTTCCAACCCATCTTGCCTCCAGCTCAGCCTCCCTCATACCAGTTGGGACAATAGGCATGGGCTACTGTGCCCAGCTTTATCTTTTATTTTTTTCCCCTATGCTAGGGATCAAACCCGGTGCCTCACACATTCTAAGCAGGTTCTACCATGAAGCCACATCCCCAGCCCTATCTTACTTTCTAATATGGATTTTTGAGGGTTTGTTGAGCATGTCTTTTACAAAGTTTTCTTTTCCCCCTGGTGTTGGGGATGGAACCCATAGTTTTGAGCATGCCAGGTTAACAGTCAACCACTAGACCACAGCTGAGCCATGTAAATATCTTTTATGATTTTTTTTTTTTTTGGTACTGGGAATTGAACCCAACTGAGCTATATTCCCAGCTTTTTTTATTTTGAAGCAAAATCTTGCTAAATTGTTGAGGCTGCCCTAGAACTTGCAATCCTCCTGCGTCAGCCTCCCCAGCTGCTGGAATTACAGGTGTGCATCACCATGCCCAGTTCCCAGCCTTTTTAAATATTTTATTTTGTTTATTTATTTATTTTTTTTGTGTGGTGCTGGGGATTGAATCTAGATTCTTGTGCTTGCTAGGCAAGTACTACCACTGAGCTATATCCCCAGCCTCTCAATCCATTTTTTAGTTTTTATTTTGAGACAGTGTCTGAGTTGCCCAGGCAGGCCTCAAATTTGCGATTCTTCTGCTTTAGCCTCCTGAGTTGTTGGGATTATAGGCATGCGCCATTGCCCCTGGCCAGGAATCTTTTTATTATCTTTTAAGCCTTGTTTCTTATCTTGCCCATTTAAAAAAAATTGTGTTTTTTTATCTAAATGATTTGTAATAGTTGTTCACTAAACTGCATATTAATCCTTCAAAAAAATTTTTTTCAGATTATTTAAAAGCTCTTCACACTAGCTAGATATGGTGGTATATACCTATAAACCATAATACTAGCTATTTGGGAGGCTGGGGCAGGAGGATCACGAAGGTTTTTTTTTTTTTTTGGTTGTTAATATTTTTGATTTAGTTGTAGTTGAACACAATACCTTTTTAAATTTTTATTTTTATGTGGTGCAAAGGATCGAACCCAGTGTCTCTTGAACGTGTTAGGTACCACTGAGCTACAACCCCAGCCTGTGTTTGGTTGTTTTTGCAGTACTGGGGACTAAACTGAGAGGTGCTCTACCACTGAGCTATATTGCCAGTCCTTTTTATTTTTATTTTGAGACAGGGCCTTGTAAATTTGGGAAGGCTGGATTTGAATATGCAGTTCTGTCTCCAGACTCCCAAGATGCTGGGATTACAGGTGTGGGCCATCAGTCCTGGCAGGATCTCAAGTTTGAGGCCAGCCTGGGCAGTTTAGTCAAATTGTGAGGTAGAGTGCTTGCTTGCCTACCATGTCAAGTACTAGTACCTTTTCATTTCTTTTTCACTTTAAATCTTTAGTGCATCTGTAATTTTTTTTTGGAGGCACGTTCATATTCCTGTAAAAATAACTTACTGTTGCTGATTCTGTGTTTTATCATTCAAAATGAAGATATTAAAATTCTAAATTTATTGGGAGTTGTGGCACCTGTTAAGAAATTATAGTCCTAGCTATATAGGAGGCGAGGTGGGAATCCAGGAATTGGGAGTAACATAGGGAGACTCTGTTTAAAAAAAATTTTAAATTCTAAATCTAAAAACTTTTTTTTTTAAACAGGCTAACTCGTGTAGTGAACCAGTTTTTAAGGTGTCAGGATAATATGGAAGAAAAAATCGTTTTACACTTAGTTTCCTAGGAAACACAAAATTGCAGTACATTTCGAACATATTTTTCCTTTAAAAATTTTTATTATGGAGAAATTCAACATATATAAGAGTCACGAGAGTGTAATGACCCCCCCCCCCCACCTCGTACCTATGACCCAGTTTCAATAGCTGTTGACCAATTTGTTTCATCTCTTTCAGGACTTAATTCCCTTCTCTGTTAGTTTGACCCAAATACCAGGCAAAACATCTTTTCCTTATGTAAATATTTAAGTATGTATCTCTAAGAGATAAGGATCTTTTTAAAAATCAAACATCAGTACAAAAAGTGGCTGAAGTTCTTTGGTTAGTGTTCAAATGTGTGTTTTTATAATGTATTTCTTTGGGCATTTCCAATATAAACTATATCTCCTCAGTTGCAATTTGTGGTTATGATTAGATCAATATTTAGTGTTGATCGTGAACTTTAGTAGCTGTCATATAGTGTATTGTGATTATTTGCATTTGCTGTGCAACTTATTTTTTCTGCAATTAATAATCTTTTGTTTAGTTATATATACTTATTCTCAAATTCTTTGTTGTGAAAATTAAGCACATTATGTTAGCAAGTTGACTTTTTTTTTAAGCATATAAAGCAGGGTTTGACCTTGTTTTTATGGTGTTTCCACCCCTCTAGTTGGTATTTTCAAACATAATATAGTGTACTGTATCTTTAAAATTGCTAACATCTGTTTTTACTATTTTTGTTTAGCCTTAATGTTCTTAGTAGAGATAAGGAAACAAGTAACTAAAGTAATATGACATAAATGTTTGTTAGGTAGTAATTTGCATTCTGTAGAGCCAGGCATGGTATCATGTGCACTGCAGAGACTGAGATGAGATGGAAGGATCCCTTGACTCTAGTTTGATTGAGATCAGGCTGGGCAGCATAGTGAGACCCCTATCTTTAAAACAAAAAGAAAGAAAAAAAAATAGAATATTTAATAATATATAATGTTTGAATTATGCTTATATTTTAGCTAAAGTAGGTGATTATTTTCATAAGTGCTTAGAAAGGAAATGGAACTTCTCAGAATTGTTGAATCATCAAACTGTAACTTGGTACTGTCTAACATTTTCCAATGTTTGTGGGGATATTACTGTACATATATAATTTATTGATCCAGGGGTTTGATTAATTTTATAAATGTTTGCCTTTCCTTGCCAAATCAGCTTGTAAAATAGTTCAGTAAATTTAGAAAACTGCAAGCCATGGGGCTGTCTTATATGTGCCTTTAAAAACTTGGGTTTTTAAAAGTAAACTTACTATTTTTTTAATATTTATTTTTTAGTTGTAGTTGGACACAATACCTTTATTTATTTATTTTTATGTGGTGCTGAGGATTGAACTCAAGGCCTCGCACGTGCTAGGCGAGCGCTCTACTGCTGAGCCACAACCCCAGCCCAAAAGTAAACTAATTTTATATGGGAAAAATTATATTTAATATATACAACATGATTTTTTGATGTATGTGTAAAAAGTAGCTAGTTTTATTTTTCTTTTCAAAATAGTGTTCATAGGACTTTACTAAATATTTATTTCACTTCAAGTTGGGTGGAGTGTATTTTTTCTCCTGATGATTTTGTTCTCTCTGGTTTTGTAGTGACAAAAATGCTGAGCTTCCTCCGTAGAACTCTTGGGCGCCGGTCAATGCGTAAACATGCTGAGAAGGAACGACTCCGAGAAGCACAGAGAGCTGCCACACACATCCCTGCAGCTGGAGATTCTAAGTCCATCATCACATGTCGGGTGTCCCTCCTGGATGGCACTGATGTTAGCGTGGACTTGCCGGTATGTGGGTTTTGCCGAGCTTGCAAATTCTATACGAGATTACTGTCTCTCTTTCTTTGAGCTTTCTATTGATGATAACTTTTGGGGGAATTAGACAGTCTGGGTTAGTATGCATCAGGCACTTTAATGTTTGGGTACATGGATCAGGTAATCTTAGACCAAAAATACTTGGAATAATACTTCCTCTGGAGTACTAACCTGAAACATTTAAGTGATAGGGCGGTTATTGGTATGGATTAACCTGTGCCTGTTCATGTGTGCTCTTGATGATAACTGTAGATAGTATAATCTAATGAATTTCTTACAATCCTTGTTAAGCATTTATTAAAGCAATGAATGTCTTTGGGAACCATAGTCAAATTTACATGTGTACTGTATGACTTTCAGTTCTTTATACTTTCCAAATACTTTTTTTGGCAGGGGCAGGTTGCACACTGGAAATTTAACCCAAAGGTGATTTACCACTGAGCTACATCCCCAGTTCTTTAAAAAATTTTTTTTTGTATGTGTCTGGGGGCGCGGATAGGGTCCCACTAAGTTACTTAGGGCCTTGCTAAGTTGCTAAGGCTAACCTTGAACTTGCCATCCTCCTGTCTCAGTCTCTTGAGCTGCTGGGATTACAGGAGTGCAGTAGTGCACTTGGTGAAACCTCTTGCTTTCCTTAAAACAAAATGGACACTTCTCTACAGTCTTGTGTGCCTGTAGAAATTTTAATGAAATGAAGTGAGAAAAAGAACTTTCTTCATACCACTAAGATCTAACTGCCTCTTTGTTCCCAAAGTACCTTGCATTATAGATTTTTTAAAAAAGAACCAATCTTTATTTCAGAAAAGGATATTATAATTGTATTTGTGTCTTAGGTGGTTCCCCCACCCATCTCCAAAAGCATCATCATTAATTCACAGGCTTTAAAAGGCCGGCGGGAAGCATTGGAGTTTCTTTTTGAAGTACTTACTAATACCAGATCTCTTTCAAGTGTCTTTGTTCTTCATTCAAAAATTTTATGTATGTTGTGTGATTTGACATAGATTCATGGGTGGTCCTTTGATGTCTTTCCTCCGTCCACACTTTTTTAGTACCCACTCATATACCTGAATTTCAATTTCGAAAGTCTCTTTAGGCAAGGCTATATATGTAGCCTAGATGTTGCTACATTAGTTAAGTGGGCTCTGAAAGCCCTTAAACTTGGTGAGTTTAAGGAATTGGATAGTTTGTTCTAAAGACTTTTCAGATTAATTAAATAATTTGAAATGTACTGGGGATGTGCCTTACACATCTTTTTTTGTTTTTGTTTTTTGGGTGCTAGGGATTAAACTCATGGCCTCATGCTTGCTAGGCAAGCACTCTGCCACTGAGCTACAATGCCAGCCATACCTTATACATTTAAAAATATTGGAATATGATAAAATTAATGAAAGACTCAGGATTTCTTAAAGTTTTTTGGAGTTGTCATTATGTGTACTTGCTATTTTTATATATTAGTCTGTACATTTTTGATGCTGTAAAACTTAAAGGAAAGTTTTCTTTCTATAAGGGCTTCTCAAGGATTGAGAGACATTCCAACATGAGATAGTTTAAGAGTTCTCATGTTAACTTCTTATCCCATTTGATAAGAATCTTGAGTTTTGTGTACCAATCCATAAAAATATCATTAGATATGTGAAAAGCTTGAGATTACTGGTTCCTGGAAAAGGTTTCCTATTACCTAATGTTTGAAGTATGAACTTGCAGGACTGTTGATGGATAGGTTGGTACTAGGAGAATTTGTAAAGCTTTTTTTCAAAAGAGAAACAGCACTAGACTTTAAAGTAGTGGAATAAATGTCTAGTGACTGGTCTAGAATAGTTTCCTAAGGTGTGGTATACTCAGTACGGTGTATGTGATGCTTGATCAAGTCCAGAAATACTAGCTGGCTTGTCACCAGGCAGTTGCAATGAAACAGCCAGAATTTTAGATTTGAGTCCATATGGAATAAAAACAATAGCCTTTTTTTTTTTTTTTTTAGTTTTAGTTGGACACAAAACTTTTATTTTATTTATTTTTATGTGATGCTAAGGATCTTACCCAGTGCCTCACACATGCTAGGTGAGTGCTCTACCACTGAACCACAACCCCAGCCAGAACAATAGCCTTTTTAGTCTTGCTGGTGAAATCTTAGAGTTAGTAACGTAACTCTAGAGATACTTGCTTGAGTATAAAATGGACATTTTCTTGCAAATAAAACCATCTTACTAAAGGAAAAGGTAGGTCAGAGGATTATTAATTTCTTAAAAAATAAATGTAAGTTTTTGTTTTTTCTCATTTAGCTTTTCAACTAGTCTGGGTGATTCTGGGAGATTTAGAATTGATTTTGGAAATTGAATGAAGCACATATTCATTTCCTATTAGGATTAGGGTCACTAGTGATTATAGCTAGCCAGCATGGAATTAAGATGATTGCCCAGGTAATATATAAGGGATTATCTGTTGAGTATTTATTTTTGCAATGCTAGGGATCAAACCCAGAGACTCACATATGCTAGGCAGACACACTACCACTGAGCTACATCCCCAGCAAGTGCTCTACCACTGGGCTACTCTCAAACTCTGATTACATAGAAAAATTTAATTGGTGGACTTTGAATTAATGTATACTAGTGGTATTGATCATTTGGTTGGGAGTGAGAGTACTGGGGATTAAACTCAGGGATGCTTTGCCACTGAGCTTCTTCCCAAGCCCTTAATTTTTTATTTTGAGACAGGATCTTGCTTATTTGCTTAGGGCTTTACCAAGTTGCTGAGGCTGGCCTCAAATTTGAAATCCTCCTGTATCAGCCTCTTGAGTCATTGGGGTTACAGGTAGTAGTGATTATTTTCTTATTCCTGCTCTCCTTCCTTTTGAAAACTGAGAAAACTACTTTCTCCCTTTTCTCTGCTCTTCCTTTTTCAACTAAATATAGTAAGAATACCTTTCAGTGATTCAGAGACATCAGAGAGAAATTTTTAACTCTTTGATTTTTAAATTCTCTTTTAAAATGCTGCAGTAGGGCTGGAGATGTGGCTCAGCGGTAGCGCGCTCGCCTGGCATGCGTGCGGCCCGGGTTCGATCCTCAGCACCACATACCAACAAAGATGTTGTGTCCGCCGAGAACTGAAAAATAAATATTAAAAAAAAAAAAATTCTCTCTCTCCTCTCTCACTCTCTTTAAAAAAAATAAATAAATAAAATAAAATGCTGCAGTAAATTCTTCGAATTCCTTTGAGAGTTTAGATTTCTATCAAGTAAACAATATGTCGTACAAAAATTCGCATCTTCTAAGTGTTAAATCAATATGTGTTATTTCAATAACTGTTATATCAATAATAAAATATTTGGCTAATCAATAGATAATAATTTTCATATACATACTTTACTGATAGCAATGTCAAAGCTTTTAAATTATACAGGCCATGTATAGTTACACTTTTAAATATAGTAGTCCCCCTCACCTGTGGCTTCACTTTCTGTGATTTTATTTTATATTTGTGTTAGAGATTGAACCCAGAGCCTCATGAATGCTAGACAGACACTCTGTCACTGAGCTACATCCCCAGCCCTTTCTATGATTTTAGTCACTTGTGGTCATCATGGTCAAAAAATATTGTGAAATATTCCAGAGATAATTTATAACTCTTAAAGTACATTGATATAATTTTCTTGTTTTATTATTTTTATTACTCTCTCCTGTGCCTAATTTATAAATTAAATTTTACACTGGGTATGTATACATAGAAAAAAATCTTTTTATGTGGTTTGGTACTGTCTGTGGTTTCAGACATACACTGAGGGTCTTGGAATATATGCCTTGAGGATAAGGGGATTATTATAAATGAAAACCATCTCATATTCTTGAATTCGAAGACTTAAAGTAATTAGGATGACAGTACACTTCAAACTGTTTGCAGATTCAGTGTAGTCCTCGCCAGAATCCCAGCTGATATATTGTGGAAATCGACAAGCTGACTCTAAAAGTCATATGAAATTGCAGGGGACCCTGAATGTCCAAAACAGTATTAAAAGTAGAATACTCACTTTTTAAGTACTTCCCAATTTTAAGACTTACAACAAAGCAAAAATAATCACGATGATGTGCTTTTGGCATAAGGATAGACTGGTCAATGGAACAGAATGGTAAATTGATCCATCTGTGGTCAGTTGATTTCCCCCTCCCCACACACCCCCCTACTAGGGTGCCAAGAGCATTCAATGGGGAAAGAATAATTGTTTTAACAAATGATTCTAGGCCCACTGGTTATCCATATGAGAAAAAATAAAGTTGAGCCGTTACTTCATACCATGTACAGATCAAAGAGCTGCACATCAGGCATGATGGCACATGGTGCCACTTAACTATATCCCCCAAGCCCTTTTTATTTTTTATTGAGAAAGTTTCTTGCCAAAATTCCTTTAATTTGGAATCTTCCTGCCTCAGCTTCCTGAGTTACTCGGATTATAGGTGTGTGCCACCAGGCCCAACCTAGGTGATGGCAATATTCTCAAATTGACTTCGGTGAAGTTATTCATATCTGTGGATATTCTAAAAATTCATTATATACTTTAATGGAAAATGGTATGTGAATTATATTTTAATAAAACTATTTACAAAAAAGCAAATTTTATGTATTTCTGTTTAACTCCACTTAAACTTTTTAGTTTTTTTTTTTTTGAGAGAATTTTTTAATATTTATTTTTTAGTTTTCGGTGGACACAACATCTTTATTTTATTTTTATGTGCTGCTGAGGATTGAACCCAGTGCCCTGCGCATGCCAGGCGAGCGCGCTACTGCTTGAGTCACATCCCCAGCCCCAAGCTTTTAATTTCTTAAGAAACATAAAAATGGTATAGGTTTAATTTAAAGGTGGTATGCTTGATTTGTTACAGGATAAAAAGCAGTGATGATGGGGTTTCAAACTTACACTGGCAGTGAGATTGCAGAGGAAGAAATTCCCAGTACAAGCATAGGAATAAAGATTAGAAATG